CGTAGTACGTACGAGTACGTACGTACGCGTACGTAGTACGTGTGCGCGTCGAGAGTACGAGTCGTGGTCGGGGGTATCTCTTTACTTGATCCCCTCCCCCCCCCCAGCGGACGCCCATGCCGCAGAATAATATTATCTTGTGAATAATAACCTACTATGAAAAAAAGATGTAATCTGTTTTCCTAAAAATATACTTTACAACATTGTTTCCAATTTCCTCAACAGGGGGCCGATATCCACGAAACAGGAAACTTACTACACTGAAAAAGAATGCTCCGCTACTGTTTGGATCAATTTTTAAAGTTGCAATTTAATTATGAAACGCTAACCGTAGCGTATAAAATCAAAACTAAACTCTTAAAAATACGTGTTTCTGTTTATACTGCTGAGGGCACAGCCGTTTTTATTCATAACTAAATTTACACACAATAAAATTCAAGAATAAGCAAAGCACACCATATCTTCTCAAAACAAGAAATTCGCGGACCCAGAATATGGAAGGACTTGGGTGTGGCGTAACTGTTTAAGTTTCGTGAAACGTTGGAGAAGGGAGGAGAGATGTTAAGTCAATCTAATATAAATGTAAATAACAGGGTATGGTACACTAACTGGAAAAATTGGGTTGGAATAGCATATTCTCTTTCTGCACTATGTGTTAGGCGCTTAAGAGATGTAGTGATTTGTTGCAGTTGGTATGGAAGAGATAAGACTGTGAGAAGATGAACGAAAACAAACACTTATTGACCGAAGACAGAAAAATGGCTGATCGTTTAGCAGTAGGATTATTCAGTTATCGAGTTAAATATAAAAATAAATGAATACACTGTATTTCATAACAGAGCATAAAATAAACTTAAAACAATTTGTTGATTAAAACAAAAAATTAAGGATTGATTTAAAGTTTTCGCTGAAAACTAGAGAAATGTTATAGCGAATAGCTGTCCCTAATTTTTAGCTGATTGACAATACAAAGGGCAGCTAGCCAACAATACCCACCGCCAAATCTTGGGCTTCTCTTGTCAAGACTGAATATTGAGATTTGACCATCACACTTATTGTGTGACGGTCAAAGTCAAATATGAAGAACGTGTATGTACTCGGAATGACAGTCCTAGCACGCTAACCATAAGGCCACGCCCGTTCTAAGTAATAATAAAGGTAAATCACGATCACAAGATCCAACGTTGTAAAGTTTAAACGCGGACAAGACTTACTCCTGCAGCATATTTTGGTTTCTACAATCTTAGAAATGAATCTGGCTGAAAACGCCCAAACTGCTTCACATTCCGTGGTGTCTGTCCGAGCGTTCGTCTGTCTACCGTTTTAAAAGCTGCGCACGCAGGCAAAGCTCAACATCCACTTTTGAAATGACGCGAGAACAGGCATGAATAATACCGATGCCAAATTTTATTTCGCAAGCAGGATATTCTACACTAAATTGTTAGGAACTAATCACACTATCATTCACATTTCAAAATGTGACGTAACTTAAAGAATAAAAATGTAGATTCACCGTATGTTATTGTTGAGCGGCTCTTAGCATGACTGAAATGCTCTAC